TTATTTTCACGGAATTTCTCTCCATTTTTTCAAATTAATTGGAATGACGTGCGAAGTTTTAATGCGCAGGAATAATTAATCGACATATGCACCTAGAAGATAGATAAGATAGTTTATTTAAATAAAAATTAATTTTATTAAACAACTTTGATTTATTCGCATATAAAAGGCACGAATTACGAGGATTTAACACGGAGAATTCAGGTGAAAATTCATAACCATGGATATTCTCAACCGCATGTTCACATTTTTTTCCGTGATGTTTCAGAATTTCAAATGCACTGCGCAGAGAAAAAAATATATGAATTAATTTTCACGGAATTTCTCTCCACTTTTCGAACTAATTAGAATGACGTCTGAATTTTTAGAGTGCAGCAATAATTAATGGACACATACGCCCGGAGGAATAGTTTATTAAAATGGAAAAAAAATCTTTATTAAAAAACTTGAATTTTTTGACATGGAAAATTCAGTCAAAAAATTCATAACTATGGATATCTTCAACCGCATGATCAAATTTTCTTCTCTGATATTTCCGAATTTCAAATCTACTGCGGGGAATAAAAAATATAAAAAAAATTACACCCGAGTACGGCAAAATGGGTTCAAAGGAATCCGGAAAAATTCACGAGCTAGTGTCGGCTCTCATCTGCGAAATACAGGAATTTTGTGAAAAAAATTTCCATTTTACTGTGCTAACACAGCAGGGATGGGCAGTAATCATTATTTTTTCTAATGCTATAAAAATTACTAAAGAACAATGAGCATTGCATTTTCCATCATAATTGAGAGATGTGCTCAACAAAACAATCAGTCATTTCTATAATCGAATTAGAAACTGAATAACTAATAATAAATTGATTAAAAATTATTACCGATTACGAAAATAATTATAAGTTTCTTGAATACAATTCCTGACCGACAAAGTACTTAAATTGCTTACTGATTTTAACCGTCAGAAATTAGTCATCCTTTAATATTATAAATTGGGATCTCCCCGCAGCGCGTATTTTTCCTGGATTCTTCATCTCCCTGTGTAACTTAAAAACGGCTAAATTAATTAATTGTAAACCGCCTTGAGCATCCAATGCGCGGTGTTTACCCAGCAAACCCAGCAATTACCCGGGATTTCTCTCTCCATACCCTTCCTCAACAAAAACACACAGAGAGAAGCCTTAAAAAAATTAATTCATCAAAGAAAATGAGTGCCAAGGATCACATTTGCGAAAATTCCCCCGACAAAAAGAACTTCAAAGGATCCTTAAACCCTACCACCACTCCCTCGTTGACCCACTCTCCCCTAATTTACGTCAATACATACAGTCCTTCTCTTGGAGCTGAAAAATTCTTCACGTGAAAACCCAGGGCTTCCCCGACCACCGAAGCCCCCCCCCCC